ACTAAAGCATAACCGTCCTGTTAGAGACGAAAGCCTCCAGCTGCAGAGAAACTGGGTCATGCAGACTGAATCAAATTAGACTGGCTACCTGAATGTGTTTTCGTTCTCCGCCGTGGCGGAGAGTTGGACAGTTTCTCTCCCAGATTTGACGTCTCTCATGAGTTTGTCACGTATGTTCTCACAGATTGAATGTTAGCGTGTAGGTGGCAGTGTTGACGGTCACAGGCTGACGCCTAGATTTGCACTACAGCCGCTCGTGGGAAACTTACAGAAGGCTTTTGGCTTTTTGCTTTATTATTCACTGTGAAATCACAAAGATCATTTAGGAATTGGTTTGATGCTGCTCTTCTGGTTTATTTGGCCCATTGTGGTTTTACTTCAACAAACAGATTTTCCATTTCCAGTTTTAGTACCTTGATTCCCTTTCTTCCTCTTTTGTGGTTTGATCTTGAAGCCTGAAATTAATTTATTGTGTTTTTAAAGCCTTGTTCACATAAACCAGTGGAAACCAACCCTGGTTTCCACTAACGAGTCGAATCAGGTGCGTTTAATAAGGGAAACATACAAAATGTGCGATAGAGGTGATCTAGAACCGCTGACCTAAACCAGCTAATCCTTCATGTGTAATGATGTTATTTCTACACTGACAGGGTGTCAATACCTCAAATCAAGACTAAATGTCCTTGAAAAATTGCTTTGATGGATCAATAGGAAGAAACAGACTCCTGGGACGTTTTCTTTGTCTACCAGGTGCTTCAAATAGCTGTTTATAGTTAAAAAAGAGCACAAAATTATATGTGGTGTGACTTGAAAGCATGAGTTTCTCTAATATAACTCCAATATGATTTGGGAAGTTTAATTCATTTTCATGAATCAGTTTATTTTGATCTGTTTCAGTGAATCTGTTCAAAATATTCATCGTGATTTTTTTTGCTTTTTCACAAAAAATGTTCATAAATGTCTGTGGCATTTTTCAGTTATATATGATTTTTACATGTTTCAGTAAAGATGTATCAAACTAAATTTTATTGTTTATTGCCATACACTATTATATTGATACATTTAAATAAAATTATTAAAAAATCTTCCTTCAGTTCGTTTTATGAAAACTGGTGTGGAAACATGCCTTGATAATTTTTAACTACATTTTACTGTATTTAACATTTCAGTGGCTGTTAGATAAGTGGCGGTTGCTTTTAATTATATATATTTTTACATTAAAAAAGGGCATTATATGATTTATTTATTTATTATTATAATTATTTCTTTATGGTTATTATTTATTTTATATATATATATATATATATATATATATATATATGTATAATTTAATATATAAATAGTTTTATAAAATGTCTTGATTATTTTTAACTACCTGTCCCATGCATAAGAAAATCTGAAGTCTACTGAATGTTTTCTGCGACTGAAAGGTGGTAAATTAGCATGTTAAACGGGCAGAATAGGTGTTAAATAAACAGAGGGGCGTTTAGAGAGCTAAATATTCCCCTCCACTCCTGTTGTCTGGACCGCCTGCGGCTTCAATCGCTGTTCCCAGACCAGCACAACCCTCCACAGCCTTTCACCTGCACCGGCTTTGTGTTTCACTGAACGCATTGAAGTGTCCTTTGATGTCGCACCTGCAACTCTTTCCTTTCCCTTTGGTCTGCAGTGTGTGTGTTTTTGTGTGTTTGCAGACCATTATCTCTGGTGGATGTGATATTTGTGTGATATCCCGAGCCTGCAGTTGTGTGTCATTCAGATTCAACAGGTATGAATGTAGTTTTAGAAGCACGTCACAGTTGCGTGCCTTTTTCTGGTTGTCGTTTGCGTCCCGCTGGTGTGTTAATGTGACAAGGCCACTCTAGAAGTCACACACACAGTGTGTTGACTAATCAGTAAGCTGGGAGTCTCAAACAATTTCACATGGTCTGAGACGGGAAATGGCCTATAGAACAGTGTTATTTTAGTATTCATATACTGTTATAGTTAACATTCATATTTTAAATTGGCTTGTATTTTTATATTTTTTAGTACTTTGCATTTTATTTTTTGTTACATTTTTAGCTTAGTTGTTAAAATGTTAGTTTAGGTTATTTTCAGTTTTATTTAACTTATTAATTTATGCATTTTTTTAAATTTTTTGAATGGCTTTTATTTTTACCCTTTAATTCTATTAATTTTAATTTTACATTTTTAATAATATATTTTTGTTTCAGTTTTAGTTTTTATATTATTTATTTTATTTTATTTTAGTAATATTTTGAATTGGCTTTTATTTTTTATACATTTTTAAAAACTTTTAATTTTTAATTCTTTTTTTTTTAGGAATTTATTTCAGTTTTACTTAAATTATCATTTTTTATTTTATTTATTATTTATTGTTTTAGTTTTTATTTATTTTATTTAATTTATTAACATTTTGAACTGGCTTTTATTTTTATAATCTTATACTTTTCATTTTAATTTTGTTAACTTTCTTGTCATTTATTTAATTTTTTATATTTAATGTAGTTAGTAATTTTAGTGAACGTAAAATTAGAAATGTTCCTTTGGCAGCTAACTGAAATAAATTTAAGTTGTTCATCTAATATTTTGATTTGTATATTTGATTTCTGCTTTGTTTAAATTAACAAAAATGTTTTAATAATATTAGTTTTAGCCAACAATAGTAACCCTGCTATGCAATAACAAAAATGATGTATGTACACAAATATAAATATATATATGTGTACACATACACACACACACAATAAAAAGGCAAGAGCTCAGGTCAGTTAAAGGGTGTAAATCGAGCCTTGTCACGCTACACCAGTGGTTCTCAACCCGCGGCCCGTCACGAATTCAAATGCGGCCCACCGTGCTGACACGTCTGAACTATGATGTGAAAATTGTCCCGAAGCCTGGCCCGAGGGGCGTAAAAAAGTCGGGGCCCGTCGGGCCTGGGCTGTTTTTATTTCAATAAATGTAATCGTTTAGATATAATATTTAGGCTATAATATTATAAATCAGGTTGGTTTGTATTGCTGACGTAATATGTAAATGATATGCGTGCGGCCCACGAGACTTGCACTTGGACAATAGTGCGGCCCGGTGGAAAAAAAGATTGAGAACCACTGCTCTACACTGTTACAATTTCACAGCCCATAAGGCCTCCTGGACCATATCTACTTTCTCTCCCTCGCTTTTTCCCCCTCAATGACCTACTTTGCTAATTATAGCTCAGAAGTTTCCGCCAATGAAAGTTTGGTCTGAACAGTTGACAGGCCATGCGTTGAATCCGGGTCTGTGCAGCACCTGAGGACGCTCACACACGCGTGCGCATGTGTGTGATAGAGTGTGTGTGTGTGTGTGTGTGTGTCTGTTTGAGAGAGAGAGAGTGTGTGTGTGTGTGTGTGTGTGTGTTAGAGTGTATGTGTGTGTGTGTGTGTGTTAGAGTGTATGTGTGTGTGTGTGTGTGTGTGTTAGAGTGTATGTGTGTGTGTGTGTGTGTTAGAGTGTATGTGTGTGTGTGTGTGTGTGTGTTAGAGTGTATGTGTGTGTGTGTGTGTGTTAGAGTGTATGTGTGTGTGTGTGTGTGTGTGTTAGAGTGTGTCTGTGTGTGTGTGTGTGTGTGTGTTAGTGTGTATGTGTCGGGAAGCCCATTGTTAAAGATAGTGTGACATGCCTGGAGGATGATGAACCTCTTTAGACATCTACAGTCTCGATTAACTGGCAGAGTATTATACAAACCTTCTCCTTATATGTCATTCTCGTCTTGTGCACATTCAAACATGCAGCTTTGGCACAAGTAACAGTTTTTACCAGTATTACTAATTCTGCAAAATCTGGGCATGAACTAACTTGAGCAGTTTGTCGTTCATACTTCTGTTCTTTCTCTCTTTTAACTATTTTCTTTCTGGGCCTCTTGATTGACAGCGTCATGGTCGGATAAAGAGACCGTTTTAACCGAGAAGAAGAGCAAATTATCTGAAGCACCTGTGTGACGAGTGCCATCGATGTTTCCTCTTCAAATAAGAGGTGTCTGTGTCAGATATTGTCAAGAAATGTGCTGGAAAAATGATGGGAGTTGTTAAGAAATGGCCGGTCATTTTGCAAAACAAACTGCAGTTGGTTGCTTTAAATGCCAGTCTTAAGGTCTCGTTCTGTGTCTGGTTTTCTAACAACAAATTTTGAGTGAATTTGTTTTTGAGCGTGTTATTCCTTTAATTATGATTAAGATGTTTGGATAAGCTTATATCATACAAATCAGTAAAATACTTAGTCCTAAATTTAATATTTTATATCTTTTAATTTCATATAAAAGTTTTAGCCATATGGATGATACAGTTTTAACAAAGTGATTAGTTTTAAAAAACAAAATTAATAAATTAATATAATCCATATTTGTCAGTTACACATAAATGAACAGGTAATATTTCTCTAATAATACTAATAAACTGAATGTTTTAAAATGCACAACAGGTTTATATATCATCAATATCAATATCATCAATAAATCCAATATTTTAACCGTATTTTTAACTGAATAAATGTTTTCACAATGAATAGATTAGATTTATGATTATTATAAACTATTTGCATACATGCATATTTGAAATAAACATCAACTGAAATAAAGTTTTTTTTATATATTTTATTTTATTTCATTTCGTGTAGTTGCCATAGAAACACTTCTTATTTTTATTTAGGTTAACCTGATGTATTAAGATAATTAACACTAAAACATCAATAAAAATTAATAAAACCTATATAGGCAATAATAATGGCTTATAAAAATGACAAAAACATACAGAAAAATTAACAAAACTAATCCCCGTGCAAAAATCTTACCTGTTTCTGCTATGTATGACTGCCAAAACTGCATCACATTAAGTTTATTAGTTTATGTTAAATTGTGTAATCCAAATAGAATGAAATGTTACATGCAATTCAAATACATAAATCCTTGTGCATGCAGCGTGACTCAGTTGTTTGAAGTAAATATGTTTGTGTCTCTGCAGACATGTAGAGCTGTGAACAGCGTTGACCGGCGGCGTCTGGATAAACATGGAGCCTTGTGCCGAGTCTCAGGGAGATCCTGAGAGAGCTCAGGTGAGCGATCTCTCTCTCACACACACACACACACACACACACACACGTCCATGTGAATATAATGAGCCATTAGAGCTCACACAGACCTGAACCAGCCTTCACAATGACAAGAACAAAGCTAACGCTGCTGACACCAAACACACTTTAAACACCTTGCTCACACACTTTCTGTCCCATTAGCGACTTCAAAAGACAGAAACACACCTCAGCTGTCAGAGCCTGTGAATAATGAACAGTACAAAGCACTACTGCATGCTGCGATACTTCTCATTGTCACAAATTTAATACTATTAATAAAATGAAAGAAGATTAAGCCAGTTTTTTCGCATTGTGATGTCAGTTTTATGAGGTTTAAAACCTTTGTTTTAAGCACCTGTTTTTATTTACTGTTAAAAACGTATTGCGTAAAAAACTAATAATTATTGGGGAAAAAATATTGTTGTAATTATAGATAATAATTAAATGAAATATTAATGTATTTAAGATTATTTGTTTATGTAAATATATTAATTTAAATATTAATATTCATATATATAATGAGTAATATGTATATTTATTTAAATAATATAACTTATATTTAATATAATTTTAATTAAGAAATGATGGTACAATTTGTGGCACTCTCTTTAATATATGAAAATGAATTAAAAAATAGTAATTTAAAAACAAAAAATACTATTATAAGAATGTAATAATATAACACTAATATTAAAGGGGGGAAAATTAAACAGTTTATGAAACATAATTTTTGACATTACAGTAATCAGACATTGGGGTAAAATATGCTTAATTGTTATGAAAATAATGTCACAATGCAAAAAAAAAAAAAAAATTTCAATAAAAAAAA